GCTCCGTAAAATTATTTCTTAAAAGGTTGTAAAAAATGCTAAAAATATGGATTATAGGCTATAGCTCATGAAATCGAGAATTTTAGATTCCACAGATTTGGTTTTCCTTAGGTTGAAACAACTGATGGCCAAAAATTGTGAGTTATAGCTCATAAAATTTTGATTTTTGAACTCAGTAAAATTATTTACAAATGGGTCGAAACGACTAAAATGGAGAAAATTCTTGAATTATCGCTCATAAAATTAAGAATTTTAGGATTTACGAAATTATTTTCCAATGGGTCGAAACAAATAAAAATAGTTAAAAATTATTGGTTATAAATCATAAAATCATGAATTTAAGAATCGGTGAATTTTTTTTCATTGCATCGAAACAACTAATGGCAAAAAAAATTATGGGTTATAGCTCATGAAATCTTGAATTTTTAACTCTATGAAAGTATTTGTCAAATGGTCGGAATGACTAAATATGGTCAAAAATCGTGCGTTTTAGGTGATGAAAACATGAAAGTATTTATAAATGGGATGAAATTAATTAAAATAGTAAAATATTATGGCTTATAGATCATAAAATCATGAATTTTGAACTCAATAGAATTTTTCCCTTCGGTCAAAACGAACAAAAATGGACAAAAATTACAGATTATAGATCATGAAATCGTGAAATTTGGCCACTAAGAAATTACTTGCTAATTGGTTAAAATCACTAAAAATAACCAAAACTCATGGGTTATAACTCACAAAATCTTGAATTTTGAATTCCTAAATTTTTTTTGTCAATGAACTGAAAGTACTAAAATGGTCAACTACCATGGGTTATAGCTCATAAAAATCATGTATTTTGGACTTCACAAAATTATTTACCAGTGAGTTCAAATGAATAAAAAGAGCCAAAAGTTATGGCTTACTATTCACAAAATCCTAAATTTTTTACTCCGTGAAATTATTTACAAATGGGACGAAATAGCTAAAAATGACCAATGAATAAAAATGACCAAGTATCAAGGATTATATCTCATGAAATCATAAATTTTGGACTCTAGGAAAAAAAATTTCTCGTGGATCAAAATGAATGAAAATGGAAAAAAAAATCTTGAGCTATACATCATGAAGCCATGAAATTTGACTTCTGCAAAATTATCTGCTACTTGGTTGAAACGACTAAAAATGACTAAACTATATAGGTTATAACTCACGAAATATTAAAATTTGAACAACACGAAGTTTACTGCTTATGAAAAGGACTAAAAATAGTCAATTATAGATCATAAAATTATGAATTTTGGACTTTATAAAATTATTTACCAATGGATAAAAATGAATAAAAATAGGCAGAAATCGTGGGTTATAGCTTAATAAATTATGAATTTTAGACTACGGATTTTTTCCTTGGATCAACACAATTAAAATTGGCCAAAAATTATAGGTTATTACTCATGAATATATAATTATTTGACTCCACAAAATTATTTACCAATAGCTCAGAACGATTAAAATGGCTAAAAATTATGGATTATAGGTCATGAAGTCGTGAATTTTAGATTCCGCAAAATTATTTGGTAATGGGGTCAAAATTTGTGGATTGTATAGCTTAGAAAATCCTGAATTTTGGACTCTAGAAAGTTTTTTGAGCAATGGGTAGAAAAGAATAAAAATAGCAAAAACAATATATGAATTATAGCTCATGAAATCATAAATTCTAGACTCATCGAATTTTTTCCTTTAATAGAAAAATAAAACTGGCCAAAAGTTATGGGTTACAGCCCATGAAATCTTAAATTTTGGATTCTACAAACTTATATTCCTATAGGTTAGAACGACTGAAAATAACTAAAAAAATTATGACCAAAAATCATGGGTTCGACGTCATGAAATCGTGAACTTTGGACTCCACTAAATTGCTTTCCCTTGGGTCAAAACGAATGAAAATGGACAAAAATTAAGGGTCGTATATCATGAAATTGTGAAATTTAGCCTCTTCCAAATTATTTGCTAATGGGTCGAAATGACTAAAAATCATAAAAAACATAGATTATAGCTCACGAAATCTTGAATTTTGGACTCTGCAAAGTTTTTTGCCAATTGGTCAAAAGGATTAGAAATGGTCACATATTATAAGTTATAGCTCATGTTATCGTGAAATTTGGACTCTGTGAAATTATTTCCAAAAAAATATCAAAATTGTTAAAATCATGGGTTATAGCTTACGAAATCTTAAATTTTGAACTTCGCGAAGTTTTTTGCTAATGGGTCAAAAGAATTAAAAATGGCTAAATATCATGGATTATAACTCATGAAATCGTGAATTTTGGGCTTCTGTAAAATTATTTGTCAATGGATTAAAACAAATAAAAATAACTAAAAATCATGGGTTATAACTTATGAAATCGTGAATTTTCTCTTTCCAATGAATTTTTCCCCTTAGATCAAATTTAACACAAATGGAAAAAAGCGCGGGTTATAACACACCAAATCATAAATTTTAGAATTGTTGATGTCTGATATCACACAGCTGATGGGGGATTTTCGCCGGCAGATGCAACTTCGATCCTTGCGATGATGACGAAAAGGAAGAGGATGGGAGACGGGGCTGACTCCTCCTCCGACTTTATGCCTAACCTTTAATAGAGGGGATCTGGTCCTGTATCATATGCAAGAAGAACGCTTGCACCTCCTGCACAACCAAGAAGAAGAAGAAACTCGTAGGAGGACGGAGCTCATTTCTCCCGTGGTACCTCCGACGGTCAAGTCAGCTTGGGAGCTTGAGGGGGGTTTGAGGGAGAGTCCCCAGGCCATTGAGGTCCTTAGAGGGTACTCTTTAAGAGCTATCAGTTCTTTTTAGCAAAGGTAAATTCATAGCTTTTTTCAAGAAGAAGCAGAAATCAATCCCCCTCGTTTTACCTTCTTTTCCTCATTTTATAGTCCATCGCCACCTCGAGGTTGATCCTTGGCTTTGACTATGTATAGAAGGCGACTGAGGGGTGAGCAGACAGGCTGCTGAGTCATCCTTCTCTTTCCAGATATCGACTGGCGATCGAAAGTCATTCGAGTACAGTAGAGAAATGTCTTCTCAGCATCCTGGATTTGACAGATGAGACAGGGCGGAGGATAGGCCGACTGCTTGGTCGTCCTTCCTTTTTCAGATGGCGGCTGGCGATTGGAAGGGAAGTCATTCGAATACAGGAAAGTATCATAGTGATCTCTGGTAAGTGACCCGTGGGCAGAAAAAGCGGCTTATGCTTGAGATCTGTCAGAGTGGAGATCTTGATGGGACTGATCAATACTGTAGTGTTGATCGATATCTGAAGCGAGCTTTGCTGGATCTTATCCCCTTAGCAGAGTCGGGTTGATCCGTGAGTCATCATTATGATTCTCCGACCTGATAGTCGAGTAAGCTTCTGGTCGAGTGGATGGTCGAGACGTCTGCTCGAGGAGTCGTCTTGATTACGAGGGATCGAGTGATCCTGTGCTTCGAGTCGGTAATGATGACTCTTGGTCAAAAGATGACTTGTCTGCTCGGCTGGCCGATAGACTTGCTCTTGGCTGGGATTTTGGGCCGCTAAGCTGGTTTGGATCATAGCTCTTTTGGGCCTATGAAGATAATCTCTTGATATCTTTATCTTTAGATGGTAAATTACCATAACAAGAATACATGAAGACTTTTGCCAATTGGTCCAAAGTACTAAAAATGACTAAATATCCTAGGTTATAGCTTCTAAAATCATTAATTGTAGACTCTACAAAAATTTTCTATTTGGTCATAACATATAAAAATGGCCAATTTGACTCTGCAAAACTATTTGTCAATGAGTTGTAATGAGTAAAAATGTTCAAAAATCGTGAGTTATACCTTATGAAATTGTGAATTTGTGACTTTGCAAAAGTATTTGCTAATGGGTTGCAGTAAGTAAAAATAGCAAAAAATTATGGGTTATAGATCATAAAATTATGAATTTCGGACTCTGTGAAGTTATTTTCCTTTGGGCCTAAATAGCTATAACACTTTTATTTGTTTCGATCCATGGGTTATAGCTCATCAAATCGTGAGTTTTAAACACTTTTCTTTGTTTCAATCCAAGGAAAAATATCGGAATTAAATATTCATGATTTCAGGAGCTATTACCCATAATTTTTAGCTATTTTTGTTCCTCTCAACCCTTGACAAATAATTTCTTAGAGTTTAAAAATTCACGATTTGAACTACAACTTACAATATTCGACCATTTTTAGTCGTCTCAATCTACTGAAAAATAATATTACGAAGACTAAAATTCATAATTTAATGAGTTATAACACATGACTATTTACCATTTTTATTTATTTCGATCCAAGGGGAAAACTCTATGAAATTATTTGAAAAAGGGTTGAAATGACTAAAAATAGTTAACAAATTATGGATTATAGCTCATGAAATCATGAATTTTAGACTGTTCAAAATTATTGCCAGTGGGTCTAGACGACTAAAAAAGGCTAGAAATCATGAGTTGTAGCTCATAAATTGTAAATTTGAACTCCGCGAAATCATTTTCCCTAGGGTCGAAATACATAAAAATAGCCAAAAATTATTGGCTATAACTCATGAAACTATGCTTTTTTGGCTCCGCAAAATTATTTATCCATTTGGTAGATACAACTAAAAATTGTCAAAAATCGTGTTATAACTCATAAAGGAATTTTAAAATTCGCAAAATTATTAGCCAATAGGTTAAAACGAATAAAAATAGTTTGGAACCATGGACTATAATTCATAAAATCATAAATTTTAGACTCCACGAAATTATTTTCATCTAGATTGAAATAATTAAAAGTAGTAAAAATTTGTGGGTTATAGCTCTTGAAATATTTGAGCTTTTGACCACAAGAAATTATTTATCAATAGGTCGCAATGACTAAAAAAGTTGAAACAACTAATAATAACCAAAATTTATAGGTTATAGCTTCTAAAATCATGAAATTTGAACTCCCATTATTATTATTTGTGGATACGTTTAAACAACTAATGACGGCCACAGTTTCTAATAGAATTTCATAATATTTCCCCAAGAAATCACCTGAACAAGCTATAACGGGTTACAAGAACAACATATTACTCAATCAACAGTTCACATACTGATGCACAAGCTGCAGAAACTACACGAGATGCCAAAAAAAAGGCAGGAAAGGAAAAAAAGAAACGAAAGATGACAGCAAGCCATACGCGGAACAGTTTGGGTAATTATACATAACCTCTATATATATAGAAAACCAGTGAACCTGGAGCACAAAATAAAAAAGCGTTGAGCTTGGGTATAAATGGAAATCTCAAAACACTTCCGCTATTTTGCTCGCAAGAACACGTTCTCTTCTCTCAATGTATCCAAAAGGGAACCACCCCGCTTTCCCCTTGCATTCCCCTTCCGCCCAACCATTACCAGCCACCTGCGGACACCGCTTCTCAGATTAGCAAAATTCCAAGCGTATCAGCGTAAATATAAACAGCTAAACAAAGCAGGTTCTAATTTTCTTTCATCATGGCTCAACACCCCTCACCCCTCAACACTCCAACAAACCATCACCCCACCGCACACCCACACGAATAACCAACAATAAAACAGAGAATACAGAACAAACAAAAAAGAGTGGATTAAGTCAGAAGTCAAAAAAAAAAAAATATGACACGATCAGGTGGATATAATTTTTGTAACCCTATTCAGCTATCAACTTGACTTCTGTCGAACTTCTATTTGATGCCAATTTTAAAGCCAAGAAAACCGTTGCCATCACAAGAAACCTTAAAAGACTGGTAGGAACTTGGAAGAAAGCCATCCTGTGAAGACAACCCAACTTATGAGACGCTACTTGCTGGTTCCAGGACTTGCCAATGCGCTTATCATTATCTAGATTTGCATATAATATATTTCGTAACATACTTTAAACTAGGTTAACAAATTTGAGTAGCCAATAATGGTGTTACTCATATACTTCAACAAATTAAGTGCCAACAGTTTTACCGAATGTTTGCCAATAGCTTCAGGATTATGACTACTTGTAGCAATTAACTACTGAAGGGCTCTCAGGGTTGATACTTATCAAGTTAGAGTCAACAACCAAGAAGTATCAACTGGGTTAGAGCTAGCAGCAACATCACGAATGAAAATTGTAGTACATTAACAACAACAAACACACCAGTTCCACTTTTTTTTTTTTTAACCAGTCATTAGGGAAAATCCAAAGAGTGGAAAACAGAAGAAAAAGTAGAAATTAGGGGGGGAAGCTTTTCAAAAGTAATGTCAAAGATACTTGGTTATGTAGGAAAAAAAACTAGCAGATACTCACAAGCTGCAAAACAAAATACATTTTCTTACAAAGGCCTAAATATGAGTATCAAGAAAGGGGCACAACAAAAAATAAGATATTGAGGTTGCTTTACTCCTGGATTAAGCATTTCCATGCAAAAATCTTCATAGAATTTAAAAAATACAATCAATTCACTAACAAAAGAAAAATAATACAATGACAGCGCTAAGTGCTATGTAGCACGGACACGGATCCGACACGGCCATCCGACACGCCGACATGAGGCAAATCCTAAAAAATACATAGGATATGTGTGTTTGACACGTGTGTCCGACACGGATACGACACGACACGGCTTCATGTTATGCGTGTCCGTGCTTCATAGGCTAAGTGTACTAATCCTATTTAAACTAGAATTTCAATCTAACTAAAATTCTCCAGTCCTATAATCCAATCCTAACTAAAGCAGAAGTCTAAAGAAACTAGAATCTCTAAAACAAATCAAATCAATCTTAATCAATTGAGAATTCTTAAAGTATATGAAGTATTTACTGATTTATTTTATCTACAACCCTCCGCAATCATGTAGAACTTAAAAGATTGACAACAAAGCTAATCCCAATTCCCCATAAACAAATAAATAAGTAAATGAATAAATAAATAAATACATAAATAAGAGGCACACACTGCCCAAATAAATCAACAAAGCATTTATCCCAAATTTCTGGGGTCTACATGAATCCATTTCTTCCATTCAGTTTTATATAAGTCATCTACTCTATGTTAGATTATTATCATATTCATCTACTACTCTGTTATGTTAGATTATTATATAAGTCATCTATTCTGTTATGTTAGATTATTATCATATTCTTCTTAATTACTTCCAACAATTTATTGTAGGTCTATCTCTAGTCCATTAACTATAATTTTATCACTTATCTTAACCAGTGTATTTATTGGCCTCCATTGTACATAGCAAAACCATCTAAATCTTTCAGCAAAACCATCTTAATCTTTTAATTCTATTTTTTAAGCCAGAAATTCTCGCAGGTCCCCAGGCAGACCAAACCATCTCAATCTATTCTCTCATTTTATCCTCAATGGGAAGAACCTCTGAACTCCTATGAATGCACTGCTTTCATCCATCTTTAAGTGTATAGGCCATCATAATATTCTCATTCCTCATACACTCAATTTGCACATGGGTTTTAATTACCACACTCTGTTCCATAAACCATGGTCAATTGTATGCAGACACACTACTCAAAAACGACTAAATGTATATTGCACAAGCACCCCACCCCCCCAGGCCCAAAGAAACAACCAAAAAAAGAGCACGTGCACACACACAAAACACACGATCACCACCTCTGCTTCAATCACTCCTTTCTCCCGCCTCTTTTCTTCCAGTCATATGTCAGAAGATGACTGACTTCATGGAATAGATAGGAGCAGTATTAGGGAAATATGTCAAGGACATATCATCTATAACAGTTAGGGTGCACTTTATAACTAGCCTTTATTCCTGAAGATAAAAGAAAAAGGAGCTATTGCTGCTAAATGCTGTCAGCACGGAACCCATAGATCAAATAAAAGCAGCAATTTTAAAGAATTCACCCAAAGATAGAGTAGAGTATAAGAATCAGAATTAGAGCAGAATAACTTTCATTTCTATCTTATCAAAGTGATCTAAACCATGGGTTTAAGGACTTTAGATAAAGTTCACAAGGAAATGATGGCAAGTACCTTTCTTATTACAACATAGTCTCCGACAGACAGGTTAAGCTCCACATCTGACTCAGCCTGATATGAATGTATAACCTACAAAGTGCATGCGGCAAGATAGTATATAGAAACAAGAGATCTAAATAGCTACACAGCTTAAATTTGATTATCAATAAACTATTTATTACCTCTCCTAAAAAGTATCCCATCGCATCAGTTGATCCATCAACTGTATGGGATGAATACACTCCGTTTACTTCTTCATAAGATGGAGGTGGCGGCATTGGGTCTTCCACAACTGGAATTGGAGATGCTTCAATTCTTTGTCGCTCTGATACCATCTGTAAATCAGAATACAGAAACTCATATAATACACAAATGAGGGCAATATACTTTGGCATAACTACGAATTGTTCACATTTTATCTGCAAAAAGAATTATTGGCTAAACAGCATTATTGCAGGCATTGTTTACCTCAGCTTCAAGCTGGTCAAGGATTTGTAAGATTCTCTGGTGATAAGTTCGTTCTGACTCAACCTGCAATGTAGATGGCAACAATACAAGTCAAGCATAGCTAAATAACCATACATGCAATATGCAGTTCAGGTAACATAATCAGGAAATGATGAATTAAGTACCATTGCAATGAGCCGCTGTAAAGTTAATCTTTGTTGTTGAGATTCAACTGCAGTCATCGCAGAAACAGCTTCCTTACCCAACACTGTCATATTTGACTTTAAATCCTCCAGCTTGGATTCAGCAGCTTCCAACTTCAAATTATTATCCACATTACCAGGGGTTTCCCTTACTTTCATCTGGCGCTTTGATACTTCAATAGCCTTTACACGTTCAAAGGCAGAAAGAATTTAGTATATTTAAAATAATAGGCTATGACAAGCTATTTCATGAATAATGCCCAAATTATTTTCAGGAAGACAAAAACTAGGTTTTGAGCAGAAAGAGGGGAAAATCATGTTGGAATATAAGTATACCAGAAACCAATGGGGTTCAAGCGGTAATACCTGAGCTTCAGCCTCTTGCCGCATCCTGTCATAACGCTGGGCAAGGTGTCGAGCATCTTCCAATGGAGCACCCATTACCATTGCTCTTAAGGGTTCAGCAACCTGGGAAGCCAACAAATCAAAGTACTCATGCAATGACAAAAACCAAAGGGAATGAAATGACAATTAATGTGATAACTATAAGGTAGTTTAAAAAAGTTCAAGATGGGGAAAAGTCAAAAATCTAGATCAAAGAGAAAGATAAATATCTATAAAATTACCAAAAAAAATATTTGCAAATAAGTCCTTATTCAGCACTGGGTTTGAATTATTGTCAGCTAGGTGTAGTCATCATCAGGAAAGGGCAAAACACTGATTTATTTCTATAAAACGGGACAGATGTTAGGTGTTTGGACCTTTCAACTAGTGGCTAAACCATACAACCAGCAACTTACAAGTGATTGTCTACAACGACAAAGCCATC